CTTTGTGCAAAAATGAGTATAGAATTAGAAGTCTAAGGAGGATCTGCAGAAGCCTAGTAGGGTGGTTCATGTCTACAACCCAGCACTTGGGAGACTGAGGCAGGAGGATTGCTGCTACGAGTTTTAAGGTCAGCTTGGGCTATATAACAAGAAGCAATAAAATAAATGAAGAATATTTAAAAAGCCAGGCAAGGTGGCTCATATCTGTAACCCAACACTTGAGAAGCTGCCACAAGTTTAGTGCCAGCCTGGGCTTCATAGTGAGTTCAAGGTCAGCCTGAGCTACAGAGAAAGACCCTGCATCAAAGCCACAAACAAACAAAATAGGATCCAGAGAGGCAAGCTGCATAAAAATCTCTTTCTCTAGCCATGTGATGCTTACATTTACCTTGAGTTATGCCTGTAGTTAACATATGCTTATTCTGTGACTTCTTTTAGCTTTAATTTCTAAGTTTCTTTGCTAAAACTTGTTTTTTTCCAAGTCAATATAAGGGATAGTACATATCTTTCTATTCTCCATTTCTTTCCTCTTAAGGACAAAGCATGAAAGGAAGGAACGGCACAGGAGGGCTGGAAAGATGGATTAGCGCTTAAGATCGTGCAGAGGACCAGCGTCTGCTCTAGCGCTTGCTCTGGAACCACCTGTATTCCCAGCTCCAGAGCATCCAACACCTTCTTCCTGGCCTCTGTGGACACCTGCACTCATGTGGTACGCATGCATACACTCAGGCACACATACATATACACAGAAAACAACAAATCTGTAAAACTGGTGAGACAGGGTCTTGCCATGAAATGTAGGCTGGCCTCAAAGTCCTTATCTTCTGTCTAAACCTCCTGAGAACCGAGATTACAAATGTGTACCACCACTCCCAGCCTTACCCTCATTTTGAAGATGAGAAAACTGGCTGAGAAAGATTAGCGCACTCAAGCATGTGGATACTAGGAACCACGCCTCCAACGATAAAGCATTACTTCAAACAACAAGATAGAAGGTACAGTGGCCAAAGTGCCGAGCTTATGTCATGGAGTGAAAAGGCAGCACAGCCCAGGGTGACCCCTGGCTGGCTATCCAGGGGTGGAGATGCTCTGAGATCTCAGTCAGAGCTTCTGAGGGGTGCTGGTGCTTGAGGCGGATGCCTAGACAGCGCCTCTGATGAGCACAGCATCAGATGAGACGCCAAAGGAGAATTCTTTGGTTGAGACTGTTGTTTCAGCTTTGATGAACACAATTTCTTGAGAAAGCTGACGAGAGTTCTCAAGGACAGAAAGGGAGGTCATTCTTGGCCAGGTTCAGTCCCTTCCCTTCATGAGCACCACAGGGTTTGTGGGATGACTGTCCAGAAAGCAATCGAAGGATCAAAAGCAGACAAGAGAAATTCTTAGAACCTGTGGGCATCTTCAAGGAGAACAGTGCCAGGCGTGGTAGATCAAGCTGAGGTCGATAATGCCTTTACATGCCACTGGAGCAAGAAACTGGGGCTATATACCGACTCTGTGGTGGTTTGAATGGCCCCCACACACTCATGTTTGAATGCTTGGTCCCCAGTTAGTGGAAGTGTTTGGAAAGGATTAGGCGGTGTGGCCTTGTTGGAGGAGGTAAGTGAGCTTTAAGGTTTCAAAAGCCAGTGTCATGGCCATTCAGTCCCCACCCCTCCGCAGACCTCTCCTCCTTGTCTCTCTCTCACTGCAGATCAGGTGTGAGCTCTCAGCTACTTCTCCAGCACCATGCCATGCTTGCCTGCCAGCATGCTCCCTGCCTCGATGATCATGAAACAACCCTCTGAAACTGTAAGCAAGTCCTCAATTAAATGGCAGCTCACAACTGTCTATCACTGTAGTCTCGTGGGATTTGATGTGAGACTCTTCTCCTGTGCACACATGTAGGCAGACAAAACACCCATATACATAAAAACATAAATAAATACTTTGCAAAATAAGAACAAAGAGCAGCAGATAGAGATAACATCATCAAAGTGGGCACTCACAACATCTGGAAGACACTAACTAGGGAGTCAGCTGGAGTTCCTGCTTGAGTTTTCTCTCCATGAATGAGCTTCCTATGGCTGAACTTCCAACTGCTTTTTGCTGTGGGATGTTCTGTATGTCAAATGTGTTGCTCTGATTGGTTATTAATAAAACACTGATTGGCCAGTAGCCAGGCAGGAAGTATAGGCAGGACAAGCAGAGAAGAGAATTTTGGGAAGTGGAAGGCTGAGGCAGAGGGACGCTGCCAGCCGCCGCCATGACAAGCAAGATGTAAGGTACCAGAAGGCCACGAGCCATGTGGCAACTTATAGACTAATAGACATGGGTTAATTTAAGATAGAAGAATTAGAGAGCAAGAAGCCTGACACAGCCATTCAGTTTGTAAGCAATATAAGTCTCTGTGTGTTTACTCCGTTGGGTCTGAGCGGCTGTGGAACTGGAAGGTGAGGGACATTTGTCCTGACCACGGGCCAGGCAGGTCTGGAGAAAACTCCAGCTACAGCTTTTCCCCATGTATCCTCTCTTAGAGATGATTCTACCTGTTTTCAAGGGCCTGGTTTTTTAAATTTTACTCATGGGCTGTTTTACTGTCCTCTTCCCTCCCTCATCCCCAGGCAAGTGGCCTTGGAGGACTCTTTGAGATGAACATGACCGGGTCTGAGTTGGGAGGAATGGAACATCACTTCCAAGCCAGCTTCTTAGTGAGCTCAAACAGCACACAATGACTTACCAACGCAATGTACATCACACTAACATGCAGGGCCCTGGTTCCCTCTGCAGCACCACATAAGCTGGATGTGGTGTCATATCCCCACAATCCTGGTACAGGGGAGGTGGAGGTGGAAAGGTCAGAAGTTCCATGCTGTCCTCAGCTCCACGGCTGTTAGAGAACCCATGCCTTCTAAGCTGCAATAAAGGCAGAACACATCCAGCCCACCCCCATCTTCTGTCTGAGTACTGGCTCATTTCATGGGTCACATACTAACCAAGCTCTACCTGCTACCCAGAGAAAGAGTAACCTCAAGACCTTATGTAGTCTAAGTCGCATAAGCCCTATTCTTCTGCCTTGTTTACACAGCACAGGTCACATATTAACTAACCCTGCTTCCTCACAACATAAGATCTCCCTTCCCTGAGAAACCTTTAAGAGTAGACACCTTGCGTCTTACTTGGAGTGGAACCAACGCTTCTTACTCTGGTTCCTGCAGCATTAGTAAACTGGTTGCCTGAAAAACGACTGGTCTCAGCATCTCCCTCTCTCAAATCCCCCTCTCTAAAAAAATCCAGCAATAGTGGAAGTCATCCTGAGAAGCATTAAGACCCTGTTTTGAAAACTAAATAAAGGAGCTGGAGAGATGGCTCCATTGTTAAGAACACTGACTTTTCCAGAGGAAGAAGGTTAGGGTCCCAGCACCCACCCGTGGTGGTTCACAACCCTCTGTAACTCCAGTTCTGGATAATCTGATGCCCTCTTCTGGCCTGCATGGGCAATGCATGCATGCACAAATGCAGGCAAAACTCTAAAACACAGAAAAGAAAACCTTTAAAAGCCAGTGGTGGCGTACACCATCGGCCCCAGCACTTGGGAGGCAGAAACAAATGGATCTCTGTGAGTTCTCGGCCAGCCTGGTCTACAGAGTGAGTTCCAGGACAGTTAGAGCTGTTACACAGAGAAACCTTGTCTTGAAAAAGCCAAAAATAAATAAATACAACCCTTAAAAAGCAAACTTAAATAAATAGAGCTAGAGATATGACTTAGTGGCTAAGCGTGCTTGCTGCTCCCAGCACCCACGTCAGGCAGCTAGCTCAGACTGGAGCTCCAGGGGGACCCACCAGCCCTGCATCAGATGCATAGACCCAATACAGACACGCACATACAAAGAACAAAAAGTGATAAAAAAAATAATAATAATTTAAAAAAATGAATCCTAGATAGTTTTCCTTCAACTTAAGTGTCTTCTTTAAGTGAACTTGGAGGGGCGGGGGGG